AGAGACGCGTCCGTACCGAACACCTCGGGGCAAGGCTGCGCCCGAAGGTCGGTTATAGCCGTAAAGGCTAAAAAGGTGCAGGCCAGAAGCTCGTCGCGAACATAAGGGGGCAAGTCGTATTCGATGCCGTCCTCGGTCGCCAGGCGCGACAAGAAGTTGTAGACGTGCGTAAAGATGGCGAGCATCGGGCGGCGATAGAGGAAGACCTGGACCCAGCAGCCCACAAGAGAGGCTAGCAGGGAGCGGGTGGTGATCCCGAGGTAGATTTGGATCAGGGTCAGTCTGCACAAGGCCACCGTCCGCACAAGAGGAGCGCAGACGATGCCTATGCGCCCCTCCACCTCGGCGCCCACCACCACCTTGTGCGTTTCGCCGCGCGCGCGCTTGCCTGGATGCTGTATCAGGCCCACGCGCGGGTAGCCCGCATCACAGGCGGCAAAGACCTCACGATCACGGCGACACGGGTCGTCGGGGCGAGGAGCGGAGCCACGCCACGAGAGCTTCTGAAAACCTGTATGGTCATCAATATTCAGCATCTCGACAAACGGGCCCCGCGGGAAGGGCGAGCGGTGGACAACCTGCTCGTGAGGCCGCAAAGCCCCGAAGCTGTGCAAGACGCCTTCATGCGCAGAGTTGGCAATCTCCACAGCCATGTTGTCGCCCATCGCCAGAGCATTGAGGCAGGGCGCGACATCCACACCTTCAAGCTCGGGGCGCCAGGCTCGAAAGGCCTTGAAGCGAGATGATGGCAGACGAACGCGCAGGGCGTTACGTCTGGCGCGCGCGGGAGGGACGCGGAAAGTGTAGTAAAACTCCCGTAGGTCGTCACAAGAAACTGCCAGCCATTCCCCAGGTGCCAGCCCCAAACGGCACAGCAGGAAACCTTGGCCAAGGCGCTGGGTGCTGGACGAAATTGAAGCACAGCGGCTGTTCACGACCGTGGGGTTCAGGATCAGCCTGTCGAAATCGCTGTCCTTCGGTACCCTGAAAGCTCCACAGGCTTCATCCCAGGCGAGGTCCGAAGCAGGAGTCAGGTACAGGGCGCCACAGGCATCCCACTTCTGGAGTAGGGCCCACAGCTCGGCGCGGTCCATATGGACGCGCGCTCCCTTCTGGCCAGCAGGCCACTCTGATGCCGGTAGCCGCATCACCTCTGGATCGATGAAAGCTTCGCGGACTCGAGCGTCGGAGAGGAAGGGAACGGGATCAAACTCTGGCGAATAATCCCACTTGATGCGAGACGCCCTGACTTTCAAATCGAAGGGCTCGGCCTGGGTGGAGTCCCAAGCCGCCGCAGCCGCCAACGAACCAGGCACAGAAGGAGCGCTGGTCGGGCAGTGCCGCATGGGGGCGGGTACGGAAGAAGAGGAAGTGAAGGAGGCCTCCAAAGCTGCAACATGGGTGGCCAGGCCATGGAGCGAGACCTCAGTGGAGTCGAACTTGGCGAAGGCTCGACCTAAGTCGCTCTTGCCGCCACGGGCGAGGCGAACTGCGATCCGACACAACCGTTCGATACGGGTGCGGACGCCCTCCTGGCAGGGCGAGACCGTGGCGCGGACGCGAGCCTCGGCGGGAGCGAGGCTAGGATGACCCAAGGTGAGCCAATTCAACGCAATAACAGAATACTGCGCGAGCGTCCGCGCCGCGCGCCGCAATCTCCAGCGCTCCCTGCGCCTCGCCGACAAGCCGTCAGGCGGGGGACCAAGAGGTGGAGCAGGCGGGCACGGCCAAGGATCGCGGGGAGGCGGCCCCAAAAGGTACGGGTCGTCCCTGTCCATTGCACGCATAGATGAGCGGGAGAAAGATCCAAGAGAACATCGAGCACCCATCCCAACCTGGGACAGCGCTGCCGCCCAGTGGGTGATATCAATGTTCGCGCCTGGAAACAGGCGCAGCAAGGCAGACAAGTCAGCGACGAATGGCGCGACTTTGGCAAGTGCAGCAGGGGTGCTTGAAGGAGAACAGGCACCAGCAGGGACACCAACCTCAGGAGCTGCAGGCCCCCTGGAGGGCGCGCGCGACTGAGGCAGGCGCCGGCCAAAATGGCCGAAGGGATCCGAGAAGCGGTTCGGAGCAGAGCGAAGGGCGTGGTGGCGGAACGTACTCCTCCCTGCGGGGCCGCAACAGCATCGCTGGAAGAGCGCATTCCTACCCTCACGCCCTCGCTGAGCCCAAACGCGCCTAGCAGCCGCAACAGCGTCGGTGCAGACTGTGCGCGGCGGCGTACCCCGGCCCCGCGAAGGCCCACCCTTCCAGGAGGCGGGCGCCAAAGGCGCCCTCAGTCCTTCTTGGGCACCGCCTTCGGTGCCTTGGACGCACCCTGGGACTTGACGGGGGGCTTCGAAACCTTGGGCTGCTTGGGCTGATGAGGTGGATGCTTGGGGAGCGCGACGGCGCGCTCGGCGTCGAGACGCGCCCGAAATGCTTGCAGCTCCTTCACGTATTCGCCCTGCGCCGACAGCCAGCGAGGATCCACCAGGGGTGAGAACGGGGTCTGGGCCTCGCGCTCCGTGTGACGACTGGTCACGCGACACGGGGGAGGCTCCAGCCCCGTAAGGAACCAGGCGGCCTCGAGATAGCCGCGGTCCCCCGCCAGCTGGTCGATGAACATGCACTGACACGTCAGTAAAGTCTGGACTCTCTCGGGGTTGCCCTCTTCGCAGGCCCGCCACAGCTCGGCGCTGAGGAAGGCGAAATGCGTCAACAACTCGTGCGTCGTCGGCTGAGCCCCCAAGGGACTGTGCTCCCGAAAATACTGATGCATGGCCATGGGGGTCACGGCGCTGACTTCCACGCCCAGGACACGGGCCAAATTCTCCTTCATCAGTCCTCGCACATCGGGGCCGTGCTGTAGCAGCGCTTGCTGCCACTCGCGCCTCCGAGCAATGCCCCCCATCTGGGCCGATGCGGGCGCGGGGTCGCCCGAGCTCGTGGGCGGAATTTGAGCTGAGTCGCTCAGGGTCCCCAGAAGCGGATGGACGGTTGGGCGATGGCCCCGCCCCTGCTGCAATAGGAGGGACTGGTGCAGGCACTGTAGCATGAGGCTGAAGTCCGTCGGATTGGCCGCATGGGGCGGCTCTGACCCGTCGGCGCCGCCCGCCTCGGCAAAGCCGTCGGCCGCAGCGGGATGGGCTAGCCCAGGTGGCGGCGGGGGGCCCATCGCTCCGAAACCGGACGAAGGGGCCCGAGGGACAGCAAGAGAGCGCGCCTTTTCCCACGCCGAGACCAGCGCGGAGGTCGGACCCTTGGGACGCGCGGAGACCCGCTGTGGGGCCACGGGCGCGTGAGACAGGACGGCCTCGATCCCCGCAGGATCCAGCCCGAGGCGCACCGCTTCGTCGCTGAAAAGCTGAGGCACCTCGGGCCGATCGCTCCGGGCAGCCGGCGCGGGGCCCAGCGGCTCGGGTCTGCCGACCATCGTGGAGGCCGCGTGGGCTGCAAGCAAGGCGCGCATTTCGGCAGCTACTTCGGCACGGGTCATAGGAGCCCCGTCGTCCAGAGACGCCGCAGGGGCACCAGGAGCGATCGGAGCGGGACCCGCAACCCGTGGCGGCGCGGCGGTGCCCGCGCGCTTCGCGGGCGGGCCGCGCGGCGCTCCAGCGTCCGCGGGAGATCGCGCACTTGGGGCCGTGCGGTCGGCTTCCCCGTCGGCCGCGAACCCCTCGGGTTCCTCCATCTCGTCGGCAGAGTGATAGGGAGTAGCCCGATCGGCCCCTGGGAGCGGCTCTTCTCCTGCAGTAGGCGGGGCGCCGTGCAAGCGTGCGTAGCCCTCGCGAAGCACCCGAACCCCCGAAGGATGTGGCCAATAGACGCGGCCCCGCACCTCGGCGAAGGGAACGATGACTGCGTCCTCCCCGACCTCTAGAGGGTAAAGCGACTCGAGCTCGAGCTCTGCAACCTCGATGTCTACGACGAGGACGGATGCAGTAGTGGCGAGCGGCCGTGAAGCGGCCCCCTGGAGCTGGACGTCCACTAGCTGGAAAGGGCCTATCATTCCTGCAAAGCCATCCGCCTCGGCAGCCACGAGCTCCGCCGTAGAGCGAAAGGCGCCAGGCAGGGCCAGAAGGATGCCTCCTTCTCGAGACGCGAGGGGGATAGCTGCCCAGCTGGTGTCGCCGTCGTCTAGGCGCCATCGTGCGTAATCGCGAGCCGTGGGAGCCGCGAATGGGTAGAGCTCGGGCCATAGAGGCCCTCCGCCAACTGGTGGCAGCTCAGCCATCAATGGGCGCTGTCGTGGGAACTGCCGCCCGAATGCTGGGCGCCTGCCCGCTCGAGCGCTCGAGGCCGAGGCGGAACCCCGTAAGCCAGCGCTCGCGCCGCACGGCGGTCCTGCTCAGGGGAAGCAGGAACCGCACCGCGCGGCCAGGCGGAGGCCCTGAGCCTCCGCCACACGTACGGGCCCAGCAGCCCGAAGCAGCAGCCTGCGCAGGCGCTGCACGCGGCCGTCACCCAAAGGAGGGCGACGACCGTGCTGAGCAGCCAGGGAGAGACCCCGCCGCTCAGATCCACCGCCAGCCCGAGGCAGACGGTGGGGCAGGCGGAACCCGCCGAAGGGAGGGGGCAGTAAGCCCCCTCACCCTCGGACGAGTCCGCCTGCTGGATGGACCAGGCAGGCGCAGGAGGCCCTTGGTCCTGAAGCACAGAGAGGGGGGCAGACACGAGCCGCTCGTAGAGCGCGGCCCGCAGCCCCCTGAAGAAGATCTCCCCAGCGCCCCCGAGAGCCGCTTGTGCGACCGCCTGCATAAGGCGTCCGCACGCGCGGCCGACGGGGGGGCACTTGGGCAGAGAAGCTGCGGAGACAGCAGGAGCTTGCTCACAGAGAATAGAAGAAGCAAGAGGACGAGGACGAGGAGGGGGAGGGGGAGGAGAAGGAGGAGGAGGAGGAGGAGGAGGAGGAGGAGGAGAAGGAGGAGGAGGAGGAGGAGGAGGAGGGAGGAGGAGGAGGAGGAGGAGAAGGAGGAGGACAAGGAGGAGGACAAAGCTCTCCGCGCCCGCGCGACCGGCCCCCGGTGTGGAAAGACAGCCCTTCGGCCATGACAGCGGGGCGCGCCCCGCTGCCTGTCCTGAGAGGCCCCCCCGCGGGCGCCCGGCCCCACGGGTTGTCGTCACCGAGGACAGGACGAGGACGAAGCCAGGACGAGGAGGCAGCCGAGGATGAGGACGAGGGCGAAGCCAGGACGAGGACAAGGACGAGGAATAGTCAGGACGAGGGCGAGGACAAAGCCAGGACGAGGACTGACGAAGCCAGGGTGAGGACAAACCGAGAATCTCGGGGATCCACCGGCTCTGGAAAATGCATCGGGCGCCGCGGCCCTCCCTGACTCCTGATCCGCCCTACTTTGGGCGATTTCGAAAGTAGGGCGGAAATTTCCGCCCTACTTTTAAGGCCCCTTTGAGCGTCGATTTCCGCCCTTGAGGCTCCTTTGGCGTCGATTTCCGACACAATTTTAGGTCGGAAAATCATCCAAAGTACGGCGGATCAGGAGCCAGGGCTGTCAGAGCGTCCCGGAACGCGCTCTGAGAGCGTTCCGGAACGCTCTCAAACAAGTTGATGCTCGTCCCAGCCCCGCCCGACCTCCCCTCGTCGTGACGAAGTCGCGACGGACAGCCTGCGCAGTTGTTTCGCCACCGGGGGTGCCAGGAAAAAAAAACCTGCAAGAGGAAAGGCCGACCCTGGGAGAGCGATCCAGGTCTCCGGGGGCTTCACGTTGCGAGCGAGAGCTGGCGACGTCGGAGTTTCGGGGGCGTGACGCCCGGAAGCGGCGTCGCATCGCGATGTTGTCGCTCCTGCCCCCCTCGGACCAGCCCGCACCGGGCCGCCTGCGAGTTCTCGACATCGCTGCCCACCGACTCCAGCGACAGGAGGGTGGACATCGGGCGAAGCTGGCTGGAAGACACCACTCCTCCAATCGGCGCTGGGAGGGACGTCGAGAATGCATGAGTAGGGGGAGTAGGAGGAGGAGGAGGAGGAGGAGGAGGAGGAGGAGGAGGAGGAGGAGGACCAGGGACCAGGGACCAGGGTGAAGGGGACGCAGTGTCCCAGAGGGGCCCCTAGGAGCTCCGAGGGGGACCCACCGTGGAGCCCCGCCTGGGAGAGAGCCCTACTCCAGCCTCTGTAGGCAGGAGGGGGAGTAGGAGGAGGAGGAGACGGAGGCGGAGGCGGAGGAGGAGACGAAGGAGGAGGAGGAGGAGGAGGAGGAGGAGGAGAAGGAGGAGGAGGAGGAGGAGGAGGAGGAAGAGGAAGAAAGAGGAAAGAGTGAAGGGGGAAGAGGGGTGAGGGGGAGGTCGGGGGGGGGTCAGCAGGGCGTCCATTGGTTTTCGGTAGGGGAACGTCACGCTTCCAATCGGAGAACACTCGAGACCCACGAAACTCAGGGCACCCTGGAGGCAAGCAGGGTGGCTCTTGGCATGGGCCTCCACTGTACCCCCCCGCTTCCCATCGTCTCCCTCTCCTGAGAACTCCGACACTCGCGGTTTTCTCGCAGCGCGAGCCCCTCTGGAGGTCTGGACTCAGGGCCGCGCCGTTTGGGAGCGGGGACCTGGCGCATCTGGAGTCCGAGCCGCGCCACTTTTGGAACGGCCCCCTCGCCATCGCTCGGACGTCCATTCCCTGTGCTTTTTTTTTTTTGGTTTCGTGCGTGGTTTTTTTTTCGCCAACGGATCAAGGATGCTCCTCGATGGCCCTCGCCGAAGGGGAAAATGCACACGTCCGAGCGATGCCAAGGGGGTCCCCGGGGGGCACAGGGAGGGCCCCAGGCAGAAGGCAGAACATCCACCTCCACCTTCTCCTCCTCCTCCTCCTCCTCCTCCTCCTCCTCCCA